GGGAGCACAGGGCCCAGGGTCACCGTGTGCCCCCGGGGCTCTCACCTCCCCCTGGAGAAGGGAAACTCAGACACTGTGGGAGCTGCTGCACAACAGCCATGCTGGAAGCTGCTGTGGGGCAAAGCCATCAGCACAGAGGCAGGAAGGAGAAACTGTCACCCTGCACTGCACTGTTTTAATGCATGGGCATGGTAACAGTCCAAACTAGCCAAAACAGCCACGACAGCTGGCCTGGGATAGCCACAGAGCAGGAGAACACAGCTCACGTGCCCCAGCACAGCAGAAGCCTCGCTCTAGTCTCAGATTTGATTGGAAGAGTCACAACCTCGAGTCACTCGAACAACTAAAGAGGCTTTAATTTAGGTACAGGGAAAACAGAAACCCCCAGTGAGCAGCTGTCCATTGGAGCCAGAGCAGCCCCTGCCCAGGTCAGCACTGGTGGGGCTGTGGGAGGTGTCACTGCTCAGCCACACCCCCACCCCACAACCAACCCACAGCCCCCCTGCTGCTCAGCTCGCCCCAGCTCCGCTCCAGAAGCTGGAGGATGATGCTGAGCCTGGATATGACACAGCCAGAGCAGGCAGGCTCACCAGGTACACACAAGTGTCAGCTCCCTCCAGCCACACAGAGCTGCTCCCAGCAAGAACTACTCCTGCTCTGTGTCCAAAATCATGTGTTCCCTCTTGCCTAGAGGCCTGAATCTCCTTAAGTTCTCTAACAGCTTTCTGCAAATATATGGGTAATAAATGGGGACAGCTGCAGCTTTCTCTCACCCACCCCAGGTTTCTGCTTTTGATTCCCCACTTTCTGCTGTGGGATTGCTGTGGCAATCCTCCTTCTGAAGCCCTTTGGTCTGGGATGTGCAGGAAGTGGAACACTGCCTGGGGAACACGAACCCTGGGTGCTGGGTGGGAGCAGGGGATGGGTGTCTGCTTCAGGAGCTGAAGGCCAAGGAGTGTGCTGTCAGCATGGCACAAGGACAGGCTTCAGAGCTAGCCAAAAGTCCCACAGCCAAGCCCAGGACACTGAAATATATGCTGTCCCCCCAGGAGGGGATCTCAGTCCACGGGGAGAAAAGGAACAGGCTGTCCAGCCCAACACACAGGCTGCAGAGCAGCAAGGATTTCTCCAGGGGAAAGCACTGGGTCTGTGCATGCTGGGAAGCAACTGCCCGTGCCCTGCCCATCAGGCACCAGTGCTGCTGCTCTAGGGCAGGGGCTGCTTCCAGCACATGTGAAGCCCTTGCTCTGGGGTAGGAACAGAGCACGAGAGGCTCAGGCTGCAGGGAGGAGCTGCTGCCCTCCAGGGGACAGCTCAGGGCACGGTGGGGCAGCACAGGGGGGTTACAGGGAGATGAGCACAGGTTCAGACACCAGCAGAGCAGCCCCCACGGGGCAGCCCGGCCAGACCCTCAGTGCTGGGGGGCAGCAGCAGGCTGTGCCCTGGCCCCCAGCACGCTCCCCCCCCCAGCACTCCTGCTCTGCAGGGTACTAGACCTGAGTGAGCGGCAGGAACTTCTGGTAGTAGCTCTTGGTGACATCAATCATGAGCTCCTGGGTGCACTCCGGGAGCTCCCCAGAGAAGAGCCCTGGCAGGAGAACAAGAGCAGGACCATCAGCATTCTGGACAGGCTTATGCTCCACATCCTGAGAGAGACTGACCACAAGTGACTGCTCCCAGGGCAGCCCAGGCAGCACAGAGGGGTGGTTCCACTGGCAGACACTGGCCATGCTGGCCCCCAGCAGCCCCTGCTGCTCCCACCACACGCTGCTGAGGATCACAGGTGGGGTGTGTGACATGCACATGGAGATCCCCGGCACAGCCAGGCTGTAGGGAACTCCATGGTCACCCCCCAGGTTAATGCTCCTCCCTAACACCCCCACTGCTGTGCTGAGTGAACCTGCAGTGCCTGCCCAACCCACACCAGAGCACCAGTCCCACCACTTACAGCTCCTGCTGTTCCCCGTGTCTTTATTCCCAGGCACTAAATGCTAACAGGCAACTCTACCACAGCAACCTCACTTTAAATAGGAATACCCATGTCATCCACACTTCTGCACGAGAGGATTTGGAAGGAACAAACCTGGGCAGCCTGAGAAGACTGTGAAGGGTGGCACCACTGTCTCAGGAGGCAGTACTGTGTTGTCCAAGATTTTGCAGCAGTCTTTCAAAACACATCTACGACCCTGGAACAGAGAGCAGGGCAAGTTTGTGCTTAAAGCACTGTATGCTCTTGCCCAGCACTGAGAAGTTACCTGAACTTCAACGAGTTTAACTGCTCAAAACAGACTCCATGCAAGGGATCACAGGAATAAATCTTTACCCTGCCTGAGTGTTCTTCCCAACAGAATCAACGTTTTTTCTTTTTTGAGGAAAGGGGCCCCTTTGCTCTGGGCTGGCACACGCCTGGGCAGCTGCATGCTGACTCCTGCCACGTGCCCCAGGGAGCCCAACACCCCGGCACACAGCAGGGCAGCACCCATTTTGATTTTGAGTTATCTGCACGGGAAGCCAACTGCTCGGCCCCCCTGGGAGGGAGCCCTCCCCTGGCAGCCCCCCGGGCACAGGGACAGCTCTGGCAGGACTCAGCCCCGAGCCCAGCCCGCTGCCCTCACACAAGCACCGCCGAAAGAGACCGTGTCCTGAGGAGGAGGAGGAGGAGGAGGGGAGCGCGACCCAGGCTAAGAGCCTTGGCGGGGCAGGTGCCACCTGGGCACGGTCACCCCAGGAGCCCCAGCAGAGGAGCAGAGCAGGAGGTGGCACTCACAATGACACAGTTCTTGCCTATGTGGACGTAGGAGCCGATCTGGGCGGCGTTCACCACGCAGTCCTCTTCTATGAAGACGTGATCCCCGATGTGCAGAGGGAAAAAGGCCACCCTGTGACAGGAGAGCTGTTTACTCAGGGGTACAGCAGGCAGTTCCACAGCTGCCCTGCAGCCTCCCATCCCCAGCTGGACTGCCAGAGGTGGGTAGGGCAGGAGCTGCTCCTCGCAGCCCTGTCTAAGGGGTGGCCCAAAGGAGCAACAGGAACAAGTTGGGGATAAGCAGAGAACAAGTGAAACACGCCCTTCACTGTGTGGGTTGAGCACATCCCAGCCTTCCAGGCTCAGGTCTGAAGGGAACACTGACCCTCAGGACAGAGATGAAGGTCTGAGGGGAAGGCAGGTTTAGAGGGACAGACTCCTGCAGACTGATGCAAAAGGAACGAACCTTCTAACGGCAGGTCTCAGCCCAGCTGGGGTTTTTTTTAGGTCTATAGATCTGAACTCCAGCCTCCCCAGAGGAAGGGGCCCGCTCACCCTTTACTGAACTTCTTGAAGGGCGGCCTGATGACGCTGCGGCTCTTCACCACGCAGTGGCGCCCGACCCGCACGTTGGCCAGGTCACCGCGGATGATGCAGTCGTTCATGACTATTGTCTGCGGAAGAAACGGGAGAGAAACGAGCTGGGATTTCCGCCCGCGTTTCCCGTTACCGCACGGACACCCTGAGGCCCGGCTGCTCCCGCCAGGTCCGGTACCTGACAGGCGAGGAACCGCGGGGCTG